CCATTATGAACCATTACAATCCATTACATAAAAAATAACATCGCCATTTTACCATCATCTTGTGACAACAAGATTGCGGCTTATGTCTCCACTGGTTGTGGTTGATTGATGTTGGTTGTGGTTGCTTGGTATGCGTTTGGCAACCTTTATTAAGGTTCCAAGGATGCAAAGGGTCTAAGATGAAGTTCCCTATGCAAAAGCCAAAAGGTCTAGAATGGATTTCCCTCATGATAGTAAGGGTCTAACATGGTAGGAGGCAAAAGGTCTACAATGATTTTCAGACCATCTTAGACCTTCCATCTTGGGAGCCCTAGGCAAACCATCTTAGACCCTCTAGTAGTTGAGGGGATTTGTGGCCATCATCTTTGCACTCAAGCACCACAATTTAAAGTAATGGAATCTACTTCACATTGCTTATCTAGACACTTCCAGTGACGTTGCTGAACAATGCACGTCCATGTCATGGAGGCCACAGAGGCCACAGGAATGACATCAGAAGCCATCATATGATATCGGCTGGCTTCATAGGATCATAGTAGTATGCTTTATGTTGTTTTATTATGTTTTATTATGTTTTATGATGTTCTCGCATGCACTGATGCACCTCCAGAGATGCAAGCTCTTCCCGACCATAACGCCTAAGGTCCTGCAAAAAGGCTACTGGGAGAGATGGGAGAGATACAACTCTAGCATCCGATACTCAAACTAAAGCAGGAAAACTCTCGCCCAACTCAAGAATGCATTAAGAAATGTATGACAAGCAATCAAGTTGAATGGAATGTACAATATATCATGTGATGACATGCCATGTACTGTCTGTGATGTAGGGCAGTGTAAGGAAATGTACGGCAGTGCAAGGCAATGCGAGGCTATGTAATAATGTAAAAGTCAGGTAGCATCAGATAGTTTAATGGCATGCAATGTACTCGTATGTCTTGTTTGCAACATGTTGAAACCATTTACGGTACCGTTTGCAATGTATGTATATTAATCTGTAACTTGCATGTTTTACGCGTATAGTTTGCAATGTATTTACTGATTGCGATGCATTCAACATATGTCTTGCATGCAACGTGAATACTGTTTCAAAATAACGCAAGCTATTTAACATACGTGGGATATGGATGGATATGCTACATACTGTGTGGTAAGGTGAGATGGCGTGGTATGGTATGGCATGGTGTGGTCTGCGTGATGCGGCGACATCGCCATGTATGCGTCATCTAATGGCAATGTAATGTAGTCTCAATGTAAGCCTATGTATATAATATATATAAAATATATAATATAAATATGGAACACTTCAGGCTTCCATGCCAGTGTCAAGCCAACGCAGCCTTTGTTCTGCAAGAGACTGCTTCTGTCTTATGGGTACAAATTGAAACGGTTGAGGTGATCAAACAAGCCGGTGCTGGTTTCAGCAATGGCTCATGCATCAAATCCCCGGTGCAAAATGCAAAGCGAGGAGTGGTGGAGGTGTGGTGGCGGAGGACAGACTTGAGATTTACATATAGCGGCATTCTGCCCCATTTACCATTTGCGTGCAAGCACTAGTCATGGAACACTTCAGGCTTCCATGCCAGTGTCAAGCCAACGCAGCCTTTGTTCTGCAAGAGACTGCTTCTGTCTTATGGGTACAAATTGAAACGGTTGAGGTGATCAAACAAGCCGGTGCTGGTTTCAGCAATGGTTTCAGCAATGGCTCATGCATCAAATCCCCTCCCCACTTCACAAGTGCCCTCCAAATTGTTCTAAGAGTTGCAAAGCGACCTGTTTACAAAGTTGCAGGGGGTATGGCTGAGCCCTTAGGGTCATCCACTGATTGTTGGAATCCTTGCCAGTTAGGCTCAAATGCCGGTGTCCTGAAAATTCACATCGTCCAGCGCAGGAATGACATGTGAAGCAAGCATTTGGAAGATTGTGAAAACCAGAATGCAGAAGCCCGGTGCTCTTGCGCCACGGAGTGCCATATGCGCAGTAGTCAACCCGGAGCAACACAGATCCAGCTTTTTGCAACGCTTTAATGTCAGGAACCAACCAAATGCGAGAGGTAAAAGGGTTTTCAAGGACCCAAGTGATGTGAAGGCTATTTGCCAAGGAAATCAACAAAAGGGTGACTTGAAGCAAAGAATTTCCTTCTGAAACTTTCTTCTGGTCTTTTGGTGAGAGGTTTGGACATCCTGCCTGCAAGAACTCGTTATCATCACGAAGCGGCGGTGGTCCACCATCATGCCGCCTTGCTCTGCTCCAGGAGGTACAAGGTATCCCGAACCAAATCAAAGCTATGTCATCAGCATGTTTACGGATAAACGCAAATGGTAAATGGGGCAGAATGCCGCTATATGTAAATCTCAAGTCTGTAAGGTCTGGTAGCTGTGCCATGGAAACACAGCTCGTGATTGGTTGTGTGACTTTCCTTGCTGGGTGGACCATCCGGGGGTGGCAACATTCAGCTCCACAAATTCCACCGCCTAATCCCTGTGCCTGCCACTGTGGGTGCGAGTGCATCTCTTCTGGAAACTCTGCTGGACCTTTTGTTTTGGCATTGGCTATCCTGTTTGCTGTGGCTGGAGGTGTTGCGTTTTGGTTTCTCAATCAGAAGAGCCATCAAGAACCAATTTATCAATCCAAGGGCAAGAAGGGCAGTTTTGGTGTTAGTGGCAAAGTTCTCACGATCACGGGTTGAGAAGCATGGAGCCAGGGCACCTGGCTCTAGTGTGCTATGGAGAAATTCCGCCTGTGTGGCATGTCAGGCTCCTCCTCTCACAGGTCCATGAATCTGAATGGCTCATATTGACTCCAGATTGGGATCGTTATTGTGAAAGGCTTGATCATCTGAATCCAGACTTCACTGGTTTTGAGTATTTAGGTGCCAATGACCAACCACCTGCTCACATTCCAGCTGGACAGATCTACGGGTTCCAGGATATGTCTCCCCAGTTTTTGGCACAACAGATGCATGCTGGCAGATTGGAGGCCAATGCAGAACGTGTAGCTAGAGGCTTTCCCCCTCTTGCTCCTCCACGACAACCTCATGTAGCCCCTGCTCCTGCACCTCCTCTCCCTCTGGCCATGCCAGGTGTTTTGGGCGGAGCACCCATTGCGGCAGCAGCGGCTGTGGTGGCTCCTCCTGGGGTCCCTGGTGTGGTGGGCGTGGCTGATTGCTGGGTTGCCGCAGAGGATGCGGGTGGACGTCGCAAAGGGGACATTGTCTGCGTTGATCCAGCTCCTCTTCCAGCTGGGTATGTGTCTCTGGGCAACAAGGCCTTGATTCCGGATGTCGGAGGGGGCAGTGAGGGATGCTTGGTGGTCAGAGTTCCTCAAGTTGAGGCTCCTCGATACAAGCTGGATGATCTTAGGGTCTTGCCGGTGAGATTTGATCTGCAGGGCATAAGGCGGCGAGATTTCAATGATGCTGTGGCAGCGATGGTTGATGGTGTCCCCCAAGGGGGGGGCTTGCAACTTGATGGACCCACAACTTCCCTGAATATCATGAAGGGCCTTCGAGATCAAAATTTGACCCCCACAACCTTTCATGAATATTGGCTTCGCACTGCAGAGATTCCAAGAGGAGACCGTTCTACCTATGAACACGAATGCCTTAGCCGTATCATGGAATCCTTGATCACAGTGGACCAATTGAATGTTTGTGCGCTTCAGGGCGCAGAGTTGATCTCTAGGCGCATGCAGGTCACACGCGAAGCCCACAGGGTTTCGCCATCAGCTCCTGACTATTCTGCGGCCGATTATTTTATGGGCTGGAGGTGGCGCAAGAGTTCACAGGGCATCGATCCATCGCTATCAGCGCATGTTGCCACTGAGCTCAAGAATGAAGCTGCCATCAGCAAGGAGGCACGAAAAGCCCGTGAAGAGCAAGCAGCACGCCGCCGGGGAACTGGCAAGAATAGCCAGGGCCAAGGCGGCGAGAAGTCATGAGCCTCCGCAACTCTGCTTTTGGTGCGGCTCCAGGGGCAGAGGGAGATGATCGAGCCGCAGGTTTTGACAAAATTTTCCAGAAGGATTACCCTGGCTCTCAAGACATGGCTTTGGGGAAGTCCTCAACTTTTTCAGGTGGGACACTCATGCACACTCCCGATGACGGCAGATGGCGTGAATTGTTTCCCATACCTCATGCTCCTCCTGTTCCTCCTGTCTCAGGTGTCTCAGTTTCTTCACGGAGACGCTCAGCTAAGGTCAGAGGGCGGGTGAATGAGGTCAATTCAATCATTGACTGCCTGAATGAGATGTACCTCCCCGGCCGTCAGGCTGATGACACTCTCGGGGTGCTTGGCCCCACGGAGGCGCATCGGGCTTGTCATCATTCCATTTTTCAGGATCTGGGAAAGCATAGAAAAACTCAGAGCAAGTGTACAGAGCGTGAGGCTATTCAAGAGCTTCTGCAATCCACCGTCTCCTATGCAGGGGACGAGAATTTGAGTACGGTCCGGTCCTACGAAAGAGACCTTGTTTCCTTACCCGATTGTGGCGCTGAGCCGGTGTCACTTGAGCAGGTCATGGATCCAGAAGGTCGAGAATTCCTCGAGGACCCCCAGGCCAGCATGATGTTGAACGAGGATGAGTGGGGGAAGATTTGTGAGCATGGCAACAACTTTAAACCCTACATGGATGAGATACTGCAGAAGGATAGGATCAAGTATCAACAGTTTGTGCATGATTTGTATGACAAAGGCATGATTGAGTTCACCGACACACCTCAGGATATGGTCACCCCGTTTTTCGTCAAGAAGAAAGATGGTAGGCAGCGCTTCATCCTAGACTGCAGGGGGGTCAACAAGAGGTTTCAAGCACCACCTCCTTTGGCATTAGCTGCGGGCAGCTCCTGGTCGCAGGTGGTGGTGCCGAAGGACGAGATCCTCTATTGTGCGCAGTCAGACATTAAGGACTATTTCTACTCCTTAGCATTGCCTTTGAAGTTAAGATCTCTTTTCTGTTTGCCTCCTGTGGGCTTTGATTTGATGCAGGAATGGGGAGTCGCCTCACACCTGCGAGCTTGTAACTCAGTTGATGGGTGGATATGGCCTCGTTTGAGAGTTATTCCAATGGGATGGTCTTGGGCCATGTGGATATCACAGCGAGTTCACTCCCACCTTTGTTTGCAAGCCACAGGTCTGGACCACAGCCGTTTTCTGGTAGAAGGGCAATCAGCACCTTGTTTGGAAGAAGGCGAGGTAGCTCTTCTGCCATATGCTGACAATCTCAATGTTCTGGGAACTGACAGGGGCAAGGTTCAGGAGACAAAGGATAGAATAGTCACTCACCTTAGATCTTTAGGTTTTAGGGTACATGAAGAGTTGGGGCGACTTGCACGTTTCAGTCATTGGGGTTTTACATTGATGGAAAAAATGGCGTGGTTACGCCTATTCCCGAGCGTTTGGACAAGGTGGTGCGATGCTTCATATGGCTCTCCAAGCGTCCACGCGTGAGTGGCAAGGCTGTGGAGAAGCTGCTGGGGCACTGCACACATTTTTGTATGCTTCGCCGTGAGCTTCTTTCAATGTTTCGAACCTTGTATGATTTCATGCAGCATTCATACCACAAGCGCTCCAGGCTGTGGGAGTCCTGTGCAAAGGAGGCTCGATGGGCAAGTCATCTCCTGAAGTTATGTGTGGCAAACTTGCGCCGTCCGTGGAGCCAAACAATCACGGCATCGGACGCGTCGCTGTCAGGTCTGTCAGTGAGTCGGCGCGAACTGGACGTAGAACAACAGAAGCAGCTTGGACAGATGAAAGAGTCTTGGAGATACAAGCCCAACACAGTTGTAAAACCCAGGGAACGAGCTCAACCTGTTATTGATCCTTTTAGAGATCCCAGCAGCGTGAAACCTTTAACTGTTGAAAAAAGAGACCCTTTTGCAATCGATCCGTTTTTTCCTGAAGTTGATCCCTCTATTCTGCATCCTGATGATTGGCATGAAGTTTTCAGCATTCGCATGCAGAGACCAGAGCACATCACTCTTTTGGAAGGTAGGGGTATCGTTGCAGCAGTTCGACACAAGTTGAGATCAAAAGAAGAGTTTGGTAAACGTCATGTACATTTAAATGACAATCTTGGGGCTGTCCTTCTTTGCTCAAAAGGAAGATCAAATGTTTTTGGCATATTGCGAGTGAGCAGAAGACTGGCCGCTCTGATTCTGGCGTCAGGCATCGCCTGGTGTGTACGTTGGATTCCGAGTGAAGTCAACGTGGCAGACAAGGGCTCTCGTCGTTGGGAACACCTGCGCAAACCAGATGCTTCTTGCCCAGAGAAGACATGGAAGAAGCAAGCAGTTGATGCCATGTGCTACCCCAACAGTGCCTCTGCCAGGTCAAAGCGGGAAGCTGCTGTCAGTTGTCTCTATTCAAACCACTGCCAAGAAGGGCAGGAAGGCAGTACTTCAGAAAACCCTGAAGACCAAGCAGGAGAAAGTTCAATTCAGGCAGACAGTTGTTCAGCAGAGATGCGATCCCCCGCGGTTTCAGGGACAGACTTTTCTGGAAAAGCTTGCAGTGTCGGACCGAGTGGCTTTAGACTATGCCCATCGGATGGAGGAACTTCACCGATTTGCAAAGGCTCAAGGCTACACCTTGAAAAAGAAGAACACCTTCGACGAGGTTTGCTGCAAGTTTGTGAACAACATGTTCGAACTCGGCTTCGACCTCCAAGACGGCACAAAGACTTTGGCCGCCATTATCGATGCCAACCCAGGCTATGGCCCTCGACACATGCTTCCAAGGACAAGGCGAGCACTCCACGGTTGGTCAAAGACAGAGCCTCAGAAGACAAGGCCACCTCTGCCTTGGCCCCTCATAGCTGCAATGACGCTTGCTATGCTCAAGAAGGGCAGAGCACATGCAGCGGCAGGCGTGCTCCTGATGTTCTCAGCCTATCTACGACCAGGCGAAATGCTGGATCTACAGATTGGCGATTTAGTGGCGCCGATGCCCGGGAAAACATGCTTCTCACTTCATCTCCACCCCGCCGAAAGAAGGGAGCAATCCAAGGTAGGACTGAGCGACGAAAGTATGTTGCTGGACTCGCAAAACCTACAATGGCTGGGCCTGGTTTTGGCACAACTTCAGAGAAGCTCAGCTTACCTGATCAACCTGACCTACCAACAGCTCAGTCAACACTGGAAGGAGGCATTAAAGGCAGTGGGGCTGGAGGAGAATCATGCAGTTCTTTATCAGCTCCGTCACAGTGGTCCAAGTCACGACCGGTTTCATCATCTTCGGACTGCCTTGGAAGTCAAGCAGCGGGGACGTTGGGCCAGCGATGCATCCGTCAGGCGCTACGAAGCCCACGCAAGAATAAACCAGGAGTTCCATTGTCTCCCCCAGAAGACTCAGAAACTATGTCTTCAGGCAGAAAAGGAGCTCGCCATGAGGGGGCCACAGACTTTTTGGAGTAAGCCAGTAACCACTGCACCTGGCCGGAAGTACGTGCTGGAGATCTTTAGTGGTTGTGCTCGTTTTTCGATTGCATGTGCTGATGCTGGTTTTACTTCATTTGCTTACGATATAGCCTATGGTCCTTCATGCGATTTGCTATCAACATCTGTCTTGGAGAAGCTGAAACGCGCAAGCACTAGTCATATATATATACATAATTATATATAATTACTAGTATATATATATATATACAATTATATACACAAAACAATGCAACGTAGCGGAAATGCACGCACATTCAGACATGTGTATGCACATACACTACAGTAAATGGAGAAGGGAACTTCCACATAAGAATATGCGCACCCAGTCAGAAGGTTCAAGGTGCAAATGAATATTTGTACATTATGCATTGTTAACCGCGGACACCATATAATCATGACTGTCAAATAAAAGCAGTATTTGCATCACTGGTGTTCTTTTTGGGGCGAAGATCTATTCTACGGCAGCACACATACATGCATGCACAAGTGTGACAACAACCTGAGGAAACCTTCAGCCTTCAAATGAAACTCCGTGGTTATTGCTTCCTCTTCCATCGCAAAAAAAATCATCCCCCGGGCGGCCACTTCAGACCCGTTGTCCTGCTGCAACAGGAGGGAGTGGGTTCGCATGCTGGATCCCCTGCACATACAGCGCTCATCAGCGCTCTATCTCGACTCTCTCTCTCTATCTCAAAATGCTCACTTTGACCTAGCAAAGCCGGAAGGTGTGGTAAACACAACATGAAAACTCAGTGTTCAAGGCAATCAACGGAGCAGCAGAATGCACAGGACAGATGGCTAGATGCAACATAGAACCCCACAACCTTCGACTACAGTAGGAACACCGGTCGAGTCAAGTACAAGAACCAAATGCCTTTCAAGTTCAAACAGCAAACAGGTGTGACCCGTACAAGTTCACAGAGCAGTGCGCACATCGGACCCACAGGACAGGTTCGGCACAGCGTACATGGACAGCTTTTGCAGATTACATAAATACTTAATTGCAGTTGATTACATAAAATCGGCAAAAATACGACTTACAATCGGGTGTAGAATAGTTTTGGTATTTTTTTGCCTCAGGTCTCAGGTTTTGGATTTGTTTTTGGCTTTCTTTCCTGGTACCATTTGCCTTGTATTTGCAACAGTTTGGAACTAGAACCTGTCATTTTGCATGGTATTTGCTACATTTTGGCATGGCCACTTTGCATTTTGCATGGTATTTGCTCAATTTGGCCATGTTCGCCTTCCATTTTGCATGGTATTTGTCACATTTTGGCATTTCAACCTCTCATTTGCATGGTATTTGCAACATTTTGGTGCTTCAAACGTTCATGTGGGTCTCTTGAGGGTTCTTTAGGCTTTCATTTAGGGTGTCATTACAGGTTTCATTTAGGGTTTCATTTAGGGTTTTATTTAGGGCTTCCTTTGGGGTTTTATTTAGGGTTTCATTTAGGGTTTCATTTAGGGTTTCATTTAGGGCTTCATTTGGGGTTTTATTTAGGGTTTCATTTAGGGTTTCATTTATTCTTTAGGGTTAGGGTTTCTTTACAGTTTCATTTATTTTTTTTTCCGGTTTCATGTAGAGTCTCTGATCGGGATTTCTTATCAGGAGTTCTAAACGTTCAAATGATTTTCTTAGGGCTTCTTTACGGTTTCATTTAGGGTTTCTTTAGGGTTTCGTTAAGGGTCTCATTTAGGGTTTCATTTAGGGTTTAAGTTTGGGTTTCATTTAGGGTCTCATTTAAGGTTTCTTTGGGGGTTCATTTAGAGTTTCTTTAGGGCTTCTCTAGGGTTTCATTTAGGGTTTCTCTAGGGTTTCATTTGGGGTTTCATTAAGGGTTTCTTTAGGGTTTCATTTAGGGTTTCATTTAGGGTTTCTTTGGGGTTTCATTTAAGGTTTCTTTAGGGTTTTTCAGTTTAAGGTTTCATTCAGGAGTTCATTGAAGCTTTCTTTGGGGTTTCGTTCCAGGGCTTCTTATCAGGATTTCTTTTCACGATTTCTAAACGTTCAAGTGGGTTCCTTTAGGGCTCCTTTAGGGTTTCATTAAGGGTGTCATTAGGGTTTCTTTAGGGTTTCTTTAGGGTTTTATTTTCGGTTTCATTTAGGGTTTCATTAAGGGTTTCATTAAGGGTTTCTTTAGAGTTTGGGTTTCATTTAGGGTTTCTTTAGGGTTTCAATTTAAGGTTTCATTCAGGAGTTCATTTAAGCTTTCTTTATTTAGGGTTTCATTCCAGGGTTTCTTATCAGGATTTCTTTTCACGATTTCTAAACGTTCAAGTGGGTTCCTTTAGGGCTCCTTTAGGATTTCATTTAGGGTGTCATTTAGGGTTTCTTTCGGGTTTCTTTAGGGTTTTATTTACGGTTTCTTTAGGGTTTCATTTAGGGTTTCATTAAGGGTTTTATTTAGGGTTTCTTTAGGGTTTCAATGTAGGGTTTCAGCTAAGGTGTCAGTTAAGGTTTCATTTAGTTTTTTTTTCAGAGTGCTGTTTAGAGTTTCTTTGGGATGTCATTTAGGGTGTCATTTTAAAGTTTCTTTAGGGTTTCATTTTCATTTATGGTTTCTTTAGAATTAATTTATTGTTTCTTTAGGGTTCATTTATGGTTTCATAGGGTTCATTTAGTGCTTCATGATGCTTCATGTATGGTTTCTTATCAGGATTTCTTTAGGGTTTCTTTGGGTTTCACCTAGGGTCTCTCTAGGGTTTCATTTAGGATACAAACAGAACAGAATAAAGCAAAAGAAGATGAAAAACAAAGAGACAGTAAAGACAGGAAGCAAAGAAGCAAAGGAGCAGGAAGTAGAGCAGCAAAAATACATGACTGAAGAAAAGAAAAAGTAGAATAGTAGAGGTAGAAAAGCACCGAAGTACAAAAGCAGAGAAGCAGGGAAAATAGAGAAGCAGAAAAGCAAAGAAGCAGGAAAAAGCAGAAAAGCAGGAAAAGCAGAGAAGCAGGGAAAGCAAAAAGCAGAAAAGCAGAGAAGCAGGAAAAGCAGAGAAGCAGGGAAACCAGAGAAGCAGGAAAAGCAGAGAAGCAGGGAAAGCAAAAAGCAGAAAAGCAGAGAAGCAGGAAAAGCAGAGAAGCAGGGAAACCAGAGAAGCAGGAAAAGCAGAGAAGCAGGGAAAGCAAAAAGCAGAAAAGCAGAGAAGCAGGAAAAGCAGAAAATCAGAGAAACTGGAAAGCATAGAACCAGGAACCCCAAAAAAAATCCAAAACCTGCCGCGAAAAAAACAAAGAAAAATAAATAGCCCTCCCTTACAATCATCCGAATCATTCGAGCGTTCATGGATACGGCAGATACGAGTACCAGGGAATGCACTCAACTCTTACATTTGGGTCTTTCCACGCAGCGCACAAAGGAATGCACATCACAAAAATGCAAACAAACAGTAAACAAGACAATACACAGACACAAGCACGCTGCACAACTGATTCATATTGATCCTACATAGCTACATTGGTCTAATTTGATTGGGCATCGGCTTGCACACTCCAGAATCCGCATCGCGAGCCATCAGCAGGGTTCTAAATCAACGCAATACTCTCATAATTTCAATCAATTTCAAGCAACATGTCATACAATTTCCAGCATGCTCCGCATGTGCTCCTTCCAGGAACATCCAGGTTCTGGTGGCCGCTTGGAACATCTTGTATAATAGATTTGTAGGATTGATATTGATTAATAAACCCTGACTGATTAATTAGGGGGGTTCTGCCAAAATAGTAATCATTGGCAACTCAACTGGTAACCCTAAATCAAGTTAAACAGCCCACCCAGTGGTTTCTCAATCCGGGGTTGACATTGCAAAGGAGCTGCAACGAGTCCCTTTCCCTCCAATCAATGTGACCTCAGTGAGAAAATGCCATCCACCAGCTCATCCAAAGTCAACCATTCTCGCTTCTCACAACAAAGCAAGGCAAAGAGGTCGTTCGTTGGCAGCTCAGCAGATACCTTCGGAGAAAGATGTAGAAAGATGTAGAAAGTATAGAATCTGAAATATCTGAAATATCTGAAATATGAAGCACATCTACAGTATTTCAAGCCATCACATAACACCAGACTCTAGAACCCACTGACTTTTCACGAGTTTTGCCCATCTCTTTCTCTCTGCGAACTTACAGCACATGTCTCTCAGCATGGCCTGAAGCTTGTTGAGCCAGGCTCTTATCTTTGGTGACTCCAAGACGAAGAAGAAATGATCACCCTCAGCTTGGCAAGTGGAATGGAAAAGAAGTGGTCAAAGGATTCACCATGCTTGAAGAGATTCAAACAATGCAAATATGCAAACCGTTGAGCTCTTGCGCTAAGACCAACTAAACCAAGCTAGCATCCAATATCATCCAGGAATACCTTTGCTTCAAGCTGAGTGCCTTTGTTTAAACAAGCTCCCTGCATTCACACTCTACGACTATACCCTCAACAGTGGAGCACCCCCATTGTATTTGGAAGCTTCACGTCGAAAGGGGTAGGAAGACTCTAGTATATTCTGGTACAGCAAATAAAGCACAAGCACGCAGAAGATTACTGAGAGCTGGGTTTTGCGGAATACCAACATGTCGGTGTTTTAGCCTAACATGATTAGCAGGCGAAGAAAGAAGTGCTATGGACAAAGGGCGCGAGTCAATCCGCACTTTGTCCCAACGGTCAGCAATTCTTTAAGATTCGGAGCATCATATGCAGCGCCTGGAACCAAAAGCCTTACAACATGTCAGCATATCTGGCCAAATCGAACCATGTTTGGAAGACTGACGATCATTCTTGGCAGGGATATATAGTCTGGCATGAGGCAAATGTGCGCAAACGATCGCACTCTAAGGTGGAAACAGAAACGTAAGCTTCCTATTCGCTGGACTCTTCAAGGCTACTGCGCAATAGCCGAAGAGTCCTACTTCACAGACACAATCTATACACGATGTGACCATTGCGTGCAGATTCGCCACGTGACAAGCTGGAAAGACAGAGAATTCTGTGATTGGCCGCCCTTGTTCGAATGATTGGCAGTAGCGCTTGCAAATGATCGAAAAAAATAACTGGACTCGGGCAATCCGTTAAAGACAAAGCTCTAGAAGGAAGCGGCCAGTGGCTGTCGCTACTGCGCGGAAAGAAATGGATGAAGTCTCTATCTCTCATTCCAGAAATACAGTACATAGAAATACCCCTTTCCGATTCATGGATCACAAGCTGAGCTCAAAGAACTCGTTGATGTCAAGAAATCTGCAAGCGCCCTGGAACCCAGAAGGGTGATCTCAGCCCTACACACCCATTTGATCTTCGTCTTGCAAAACCTCTTGCAGGTCCGCTTTCAAAGCGTCTTTCTCCTTCTGGAAGACCTGCCCAATTTCAAGATTTTCAAGCGATTCAAGCGCCTACTGGGCGCCTACTGCACTTTCGGGCCCAAGAAAAGTTGGAAAGGCGATTCCAACTTTCAAAGACCTCTATGTTCCTACGAGTATCAGTGGATAATGTACAACTATGCTGGGGAAAATTGAAATTCAAGTCAGCAGTACAGTATTCTTTGGGTTCAGCATGCAGGCCAATAGCTAGGCTAGACTGGCTAGATCATGCTAGATCCAGATTGTGGTCCCTGGACTGTGCAAGCGACGAAGCCAATGTGCTCAAGCTTCATCTTTTTGCGTTGCTTGTCTAGTTGTCTATGGCACATCTACACCCAGTGCTTTGCATCAGTCTGTCCATGACCACCAGGATTCAATGATACTCACATATCATTGCACTTTGCGTTTATGCGCGTCCGTACGCTCATTCACCGCCTGTCACCAAACGGCTAAATACGCGAAATGATACGAACATATACAAACTACATTTTAAATGCAGGAATCTAGCATAGAATTAACAAGGTCCTGTGTGCATCCTTCTGACGTTTTTGACATTCACGGGCGAAAACAAAGTGTTGGATGTTCCAAGCGAACACACACACACACATACACACACACACACAAACACACAAAAAAAATAACATACACACGCGCACACACACACACACTGTCACACAGGAACACGCGCAGAATACTCACACACACATAAATATGATTCATATATATATATATTTATTATTATATATTATTATATTATATGCATATGTATGCAGCATGCATATTCATATTCATTATCATATTCTTGGTGAATGGAAACTGTCAGCTGGCAGGCCGTGCAGGGCTTTGTTGTTCGTCAAATTGTTTGGATGGATGAACACCTTATGTCTGAAGCTTGCTATGTATACACAGTTGATAGTATCTTTGTAATTACTCATATTTTGGAAGGCATCAGGCATGAACGGGATGACACAATTCAAACACAGTGCAGTACATGCTATATGGTGCAAGTACCAGGATTTCAGTGATTTGTGCTCAGCGACAGGAGACACAACTTGACAAGTGCCCCCATCTGCTCTGTGTTGTCTTGTGCAGAAGCTGGAGTTACGAACTGAGACCGGGTCAAAGGCTTGTAATGATGCCCAAGAGGTATTGATAGTTCTGTTCCCGTTCGGAGATCAATCGCTTCATGTAATTCGTCCTTATAAATCCTTATAATATGCATTAAAATGTAGCTTTAGTCCATCCAAACCAGACGCAGCGTATCGCAGCTAAACTGTCGAGTGCCTCAAGCTCATCAACTTGCACTTCCGGAGTTGGATCGTCAGTAGTTGTCAGCAACCTGAGCTAGTCACGGGCATTGCTTCAAATCTTCACCGCTGCAAAGAAGCCTACGACTCTACGCTATATGCCTTTACAATATGAAAGTATATCATAATCATACTACAGTATACCATCTACAAGAATTTACATTCATCACAACCAAAGAACTCAGCTGTGAAAAGATGTGAAAAGGACATTGAAGCCAGATCAAGATTGAAATTGAAGTTGGGAGAATCTGAAATATTCTTCGACATTAGTGAGCAAATAAATGTAAGCAGTAAGTAATGAAGCAAAAAACATGAAAAAACAACTGCAGGTTGTCGCGGCTCTGTCGAGTTGACCTTTAAATTTTACGATTGCACATCACTAAATTCATTACAGCAGGTGGCCACTAACAGAGATGCTAAAAGACTGGCAGCGCATGGCAAACAGTCATGGATGATGATGAGGAGAAAGTTGAAGCAAAGTTTCAACACATTTCAACACGTTTGCCTTCAAAACTATAATTGGGGATACAAACATGAGGAAACAAAGAGAGTCGAGAACGTGTGGTTTTGGCCACTAAGAACATCGAAGAACTAACGCTTACAGCTTACAACCCATGGAAAAAGAAGGATCAAAAAGGACATCAGCCTTTGCCTTCGGCCCAAAAAATATTATTCAATATGTTCGAGGGTTTTAAACCAATTTGTGTTAGCTTGTGTTAGCTGATGTTAGCTCATGTTAGCCGGGAACCCTGACTTGGATAGTGACCACTCGGTCCACGTCCTTTTGACTCCTTTTGCTACAAGCGTAATAACGGCACGTGGCATCCCTTTAGCCTCATTTTGCCCAAAAAATAATTCAGTGCCAAGGGGCTTTTCCGCAATCACGCCAGTCACCAAATTCATTAAGGACATGCTGGAGACACAAATAAATACCTTTGCTGCTTTCTGCTGCTTTGCTCATTTTACTGTGTAGACCCTTTGAGTGCTCTCATCATGACTACGTCATATGACATCACATTAAATCCAAGCAAAGGGGGGTTCTATTCCTTGGCAGTGCTTGGAAGTGGCCATCTGACTAGTCTGGTGGCTTGAGGCATCTTGAGGCAACTACTACAGCATGCTGAGCAGATCACATTGATGTTCGCAATTTCAGCCCATCGCATCCTACAGCAACCTTTTTAAAATCGTTTAAATTCAAGTCCAGGCACCACAAAGTACACTCCCCAAAGTGGACTGGCAACTTCCAGTACGGCATCAGCAACATCTGGCCAGGTCTCCATTGTCACGATCACAAAGTGACTCCAAAGGGCAAGGCCAAATGTACCAAAGTATTGGCGCAACTCATTCATGTTGCCAAGAAGGATCACACTGAACCTCAAGCTTTGGGGCTCAAGAAACAAAGGACATAATAATAACACAATAATAATATAAGACATGTCAGCCAAACCGGCTGCTTTACTGAATTTTCCATCTCTCTCATTATTCTTCGGCTCGGTGTTTCTAGAGTTATCTACAAAAAGAAAGACCTATCAAAACAAGACCAGGCAAAGCTATCTAGTTCCAGCTACCGGCTTCAAGACACGTCAGAGGAATGCAGTCTTGAGATTTGCTGCTCAGGGCTACAGTATTATTGTTCTGGAGTTGCCGGAAGATTCTGAAGTTATTTGCAACACCATGACACATCAAACTGGGTTAAGGGGCATCGTCCCAAGGTACACCACAATGCCAAAGAGAACTCCAGCCCACACTACTGTTGGCAATGCCAGCATCATACCTGGAAGTGATGACAAAAATGCAGAAAACAACACCTACTCCACATCTGCATCTGGAATCAGTTAACAAGCGTGGCTGCCAACATCTGCCAACTATCAAAAAGCCACCTGTCACAAGGAGACGCAACTCGTGGCATATCAAAAATCCTCGCAGAAGCCTCCCAGAAGACAACTACTTTGATGGATTTTCACGGACGGCAGTTTCTGCGGTGCATTTCTGCAAGAGGAAACTCATTCCGAACATATTCAACAAACTTCAACACATAATTCAAATTAATTCAACTTCCTCTAACTTGCTTAGCTCATCTTCGCTCATACTGGCTCTCGCGTTCTGGCCTAGCAAGCCGCAGCAAGCGGAGGATACGCATGACACCAGCAATTGCCAGCACCGACGAACCATCACCCTGCAAGGAGCTTGTGGGATCAGTATGGATCACTCAGTGACTGGTTTGAAGTTTGGTTTGGTTTTGCCAGCGGTGGCTCTGCATCCAAAGTCTGCAAATCTCACGGTATTTCTGAATTGCACACAAACAGCGCAAACGCCCACGCAACAATACGCAGCATTTCACAAGATCACGCATCCCGGAACCACGGGTAGATATGCGTATATATAGATGGAGTGTTGTTCAAACTGCCTTCAAAGGATACTCCAAAAGGAGCACGGATGAAGTTTCTGTGCGCGTTTAATAGTGAAACATCTTGAAATGCGGAATGACACAAATGATTTGGGGACTCCTAAATGATTTACAGGTGAATGGAGCTAGGCAACTCTTCATCAGATACAATCAAGCAAAGTCAACTGGCTGTTACCCTTTTTGATGCTTTTGAAAACAACGTGTGTCACAAAATTTACGGTTTCCACAATTCATAAATGATTGAACATGATTGAACCAAGTTCTACTGTGATCTGCTGGTCAACATCCCGGTTCTGGGGCTGGAAGTTGGAGGGCTTCGCACCAACATGCATCCAAATCACTCAAATGCAGGCCGTCACAGTATACTGCGAACCACAACAAACATGACACGCCGCACACCAGCCCACTGAGGGAACCAGGACCACAATCGCGACCCCAGCCATAGATGCACAATTTCTAATTCGCGGGCGCGCATACCCAAAGACATACAAGATACAGCTTTCTTGGGCTAACGCACAACCATATACAAACCATGATAAGTAAATTGACAAACAAGATCAAACAAGAATGTATGCAGGACTTTGCGTCCCAAGATAAGACCGGCTGCAAATTGCCACCAAGTCACTCCTTCTTCAGTCCGTGACATGATTGCCAATACAACTGAGAACAAAGTCTCACCAGTGCCGATGAGGATAATACAGGTATCCTGAGGTGTCTCCATCTACAACCACTGCAATCCAAAATAAGATGCGGTTTTTCACTGAACAAACAATCTCCACAATGTAAAGCCAAAGAGCAAAGAAACCCACCGGATTGAATGGAGAGCAGTACCTGGTAAAAATCTGGGGGATTTCAAGCGGAATCTAGGCTTTCGCCGGCTCTCTTTCTAAACATCGATTCATAACACTGCCCTTTTCACAATGTTGAAAGACTTCAGAAAACATAAGCGATTCAGGCAAAGGGATATTGTGAAGGAAAAGGGAACTGGTTGGTGATGGTTGGTGGACGAGGTTGAGCGAAGTTCTCTGGAGAAAGGGTGTTATCAGAAGTTACCTGGAGGCAGGATTGGTTTCCGATAAGAACCTGTAGATTTGAAAAGCAAAGGAAACGCATTAATATGGAACTGTTTCGCTTGGCCGCGGTCAGTCAATGCAACCGTGCCAACACAACATCGAACTCACTGGTGCGACGATTCTGGGCAAAATGGCACTGCCACTGTAGCGAAACGAGCATCCTTTAAACACTTCTCTTTAGTGCTCAACTACCGCTGCAGGATACTACTGGTATCAACTAGGTTTCTTCCTTTTTACTTGCTGCGGCTATGCCATATTCACAAATATAGTAAGAAGTTAGAACCTCTCCAGTAGAAAGGTCTCTGATACCATGTTCTGGCGATGTTCACAGTGCAACACCCACAAACCCCGTTTAAGATTGTTTCTTGTGATTGCTGCTAGCACATCGTTTAAAATTGAAGCCCTGCGAGTCAGGTAGTCTCTATTTTTGTATCAAACATTTAAAATGCGGAAAAAAAACAAAAACAAAAAAAGGTTAAACTGTGTCCATTGGGTCCGCGCGGGCGCCCGTTGCCAAGCTTATTTTGGGGTATTTAGAGGTGCGCGTACGGCTACGCGTGCAGACTCAAGGTGTTGAGGTGTCTCTAAAATGTATTATTTGGCTGTATATCATGGGGTGATTCCTCGGGTCTGTCCAGCAACTGTTCGAAGAAACAAGCGAGAAATCCGCCGATCCCGGCGACAGCAAGGGGGGGCGCGTTAGAGAAGCTAGTGCAAGCAGCAAGTTTCGAGATTTTAGTTTCGAAATTTTCGAGAAGCTTGCTGACAGAGCAGCAAGGGGAAGAACAGAAGCAAGGGGACGTTTGGAGGCCCGAAACTGGTAATCTGAAGCTAGTTTCTTGTCGTTTCAGCAAAAAAAAAGTGTTTTGTTGGTTCAGAAAGCGACGTTAGGCACTGGCAGCGGGTAGCTTTGGAAGCCCTTCCCCTCCTGCCGCCGACCGTGCCTTGGGGGTTCCGACCTATCAGATATACCGCAATTTACGGTGTTTTGTGGCTTTCCCATTTTTTCGATCTTGTGGATCAAGTTTTGTCAACATGGCCCAACATAAGCCCCAAAACGGGCGCAAAAACATAGCCCCAAGATGGGCGCACCTAGCCCCAAGATGGGCCAACATAGCCCCTAAGATGGCCCCAAGCCGGTCCAAGAGGCCAGCATAGCCGCAAGCTGGGCCAACCTCGCCACAAGATGCGCCTACTACAGACCTTGCGGATGGGACACAACCACAACCACAACCACAACAACAACAACAGCAACAGCAACAGCAACAGCAAAAACAACAACAACAACAACAAACAACAAACAACAAACAACAAACAACAACAAACAACAACAAACAACAACAAACAACTACAAACAACAACAAACAACAACAAACAGCGACAAACAGCGACAAACAGCGACAAACAGCGACAAACAGCGACAAACAGCGACAAACAGCGACAAACAGCGACAAACAGCGACAAACAGCGACAAACAACGACAAACAACAATAAACAACAACAAACAACAACAAACAACAACAACAACAAACAACAACAAACAACAACAACCACCAACAAACGCCAACAAACGCCAACAAACACCAACAAACAACAACAAACAACAACATACAACAACAAACAACAACAAACAACAACAAACAACAACAAACAGCAACAAACAACAACAAACAACAACAAACAACAAACAAGAACAACCAACAAACAAGAACAACCAACAAACAAGAACAACCAACAAACAAGAACAACCAACAAACAAGAACAACCAACAAACAAGAACAACCAACAAACAAGAACAACCAACAAACAAGAACAACCAACAAACAAGAACAACCAACAACAACAACAACAACAACAACACCAGCAGCAGCAGCAGCAACAGCAACAGCAACAGCAACAGCAACCACAACCGCCGACCCTACAAACATCCCACAATTTACGGTGTTTTCTGGCTTCCCCATGCGCCCCTTTATTCTTTATAATGTATTTGCGCTCCTTCACTTACCCGGAATTCTTCTTGATAATCTAATCTATTTACGATCCTTTACCCTCAAGTGGGCCCCTGGCCGGCTGTCGGGCGTAAGCCCTAAATCCCGTAACATTTTTTTGGCAATTTCGCCGCGCTCGGGAAGCAAAAACATCGTAAATACAGTGTTTTTGTCCTTTTCGCATATAGAAACTACATCTTGCAACATGATGAAAACTGCGTAAATACCAATGCTTTTGCTCGGCACGGGCACAAAAACACTGTAAATACCGCGATTTTGCTACCAGAGGCAAACAACATCGTAAATACCGTGGTTTTGGGCCTCCAAGGCGCAAAAAACAGCGGTATTTAGATTTTTTGGGCTCCGGGAGTGTCAAAAAAATGCGAAAACACCCACTATGTGATGATTTTTAGGGCCCACAACTAGACGATGGTTGGCCCGAGAGCGAGTAGGTGTATAGGTACTCAGATGTGTTATGTAGTTGTCTGATGTGCAGACGCCAAAGACTTGCATGAATATGTTCATGAGAATGTTACTTGAGATCATGTGAATATGTTCATAATGTGTAGATGTCAAGATAAGAAGATGTGAAGATGCCAGGGCTTTAGTTGCAAGAGAACAGACAAGGTATGCTGTATAGAAGGTTATTAAAGATGTGAAAAGTACACGCATACAGATATGCTGATAGGCCCTCAAAGACTGACACGCGCAGAGAAAAGTGTTTACACATATATACACACAGACACACACACAAACCCACACACACACACAGCAGCTTTTACACACAGAAGCTTCTACACACAGAAGCTTTTACACACAGAAGCTTTTTACACACAGAAGCTTCTACACACAAAAACTTTTACACACAAAAGCTTTTACACACAGAAGCTTTTACACACAGAAGCTTTTACACACAGAAGCTTTTACACACAGACACTTCTACACACAGACGCTTTTATACACAGACGCTTTGACACACAGACGCTTTTGCACGCAGACGCTTTTACACACAGAACCTTTTACACACCGAAGCTTTTTACACACATGCACTTTTACCCACAGAAGATTCTACACACAGAAGCTTTTACACACAGAAGCTTTTTACACACAGGCACTTTTACACACAGAAGCTTTTATTTACACACAGACGCTTGTGCACACAGAAGCTGTTAAAACACAGAAGCTTTTACACTCAAACACTTTTACACACACAGAAGCTTTTACACACACACACACTTTCACAGACAGAAGGCTTTACACACAGACGCTTTACACACAGACGCCTTACACAGAAGCTTTTTACACACAGACGCTTTTACACACAGAAGCTTTTACACACAGAAGTTTCTGCACACAGACGCTTTTACACACAGAAACTTTTTACACATAGAAGCTTTTTACATGGAGACGCTTTTGCACATAGAAGCTTTTACACACAGAACCTTTTACACACAGACGCTTTCACACACAGACACTTTTACACACACAAGTTATTACACACAGACGCTTTTACACACAGACGCTTTTACACACAGAAGCTTTTACACTCAAACACTTTTACACTCAAACACTTTTACACGCAGACGCTTTTACACACAGATGCTTTTTACACACAGACACTTTTACACGCAGACGCTTTTACACACAGACGCTTTTTACACACAGACACTTTTACACACAGACACTTTTACCCAGAAAAGATTCTACACACAGAAGCTTTTACACACAGAAGCTTTTACACACAGAAGCTTTTTACACACAGGCACTTTTACACACAGACACTTTTACACACAGATACTTTTACCCACAGAAGATTCTACACACAGAAACTTTCACACACAGAAGCTTTTACACACAGAAGCTTTTTACACACAGGCACTTTTACACACAGAAGCTTTTACACACAGACGCTTGTGCACACAGAAACTTTTACACACAGAAGCTTTTACACACAGACACTTTAACACACACACACAAGTTGTTACACACAGACGCTTTTACACACAGAAGCTTTTTACACACAGAAGCTCTTACACACAAAAACTTTTACACACAAAAGCTTTTACACACAGAAGCTTTTACACACAGAAGCTTTTACACACAGAAACTTTTACACACAGACGCTTGTGCACACAGAAACTTTTACACACAGAAGCTTTTACACACAGACACTTTAACACACACACACAAGTTGTTACACACAGACGCTTTTACACACAGAAGCTTTTTACACACAGAAGCTCTTACACACAAAAACTTTTACACACAAAAGCTTTTACACACAGAAGCTTTTACACACAGAAGCTTTTACACACAGAAACTTTTACACACAGACGCTTTTACACACAGAAGCTTTTACACGCAGAAGCTTTTACACACAGAAGCTTTTGCACACAGACGCTTTTACACACAGAAACTTTTACACACAGACACTTTAACACACACACACAAGTTGTTACACACAGACGCTTTATGACGCTTTTACACACAGACGCTTTTACACACAGATGCTTTTTACACACAGACACTTTTACACGCAGACGCTTTTACATACAGACGCTTTTTACACACAGACACTTTTACACACAGACACTTTTACCCACAGAAGATTCTACACACAGAAGCTTTTACACACAGAAACTTTCACACACAGAAGCTTTTACACACAGAAGCTTTTTACACGCAGACGCTTTTGCACACAAAAGCTTTACACACAGGAGCTTTTACACAAAGAAGCTTTTACGCACAGAAGCTTTTACACACATGCTTTTAC